CGCGTGTGCCCGCAGCAACCAGGCGCCCGGCAGTCGGCACAGCTGCGTGTTCGTGGCCGGCGCGTGCACCGTGCAGCTGCCGCCCCAGGAGGTGCTGGTGCCCTCCGACAGCTTCAACGTCACCCTCCATCGCCTCGTGTCGGGGCAGGAGCAGGTCAGCCTGGTGGACCCGCAGTTCCTGCCCCGGAGGCACGGTGAGCCCGCGCGGCGCGGCCCCGCCAGGCGGGGGCGGGTTCCGAGGCCCCTTGGCTGCCCAGGCTCGTCATGGCCCCGCCCAGGGGCCAGCGGGCTGACCCGCACGCTCGCGGCTCCCTGTTCCAGTGAAGCTGGACCCGCCCTCTCACCTGCAAAGCAACGTCAGCGCTGGCCGCTGTGTCCTGAGCTGGGGGGTGGACCCCGTCCTGCGGCCGCTGACCTCGCTCCTCAGCTACGAGCTGGCCTTCAAGCGGCGGGAGGCGGCCTGGGAGGTGAGGCGGCCTGCGGCGGTCTCCGGAGGGCTGCCCGTGGGGGCCTCTGGCGGACCTGCTGTCCTCGCCCCACAGCAGGCCCGGCACAAGGCCCACATCCTCGGGGTGACCTGGCTCACCCTGGAGGCCGCTGAGCTGGAGCCCGGGGCCACCTACGAGGCCCGGCTGCGCGTCCAGATGGCCCCGCCGGAGCCCGACGAGGACGGGGAGGAGCCGCGCTACTGGGGCCAGTGGAGCGAGTGGAGCCGGCCAGTGCGCTTCCCCGCGCCGCCCAGGCCAGGTGGGTGCCCAGACGCGGGAGGCGCAGGCCTGCGGCCTGGTGGCGCACGAGGCCGGCGCCCACCTGGGGACAGGCCAGGCCGGGCTGAGCAGCGCCCTCCCGCGACAGGGCGGCCTCCGGGGGCGCGGCCCGACGGTGCCCTTGTTCCCGTGTCCATCCTCCTGATGACCAGCCTGGCCTACCTGCTGCTCAAGCTGTTGCCCAGGTGGGTGGGCGGGGGCTGCGGGGCCCAGCACGGAGCCTCCCCTGTAGCCCACTCTGGTCCTGGGGGGCTCTGAGGGGCTCAGTGCGGGAGGCACCGCGCGGCCTCCAGGGCGGAGGCCCCGCAAGAGGTCAGCGCTGCGGGACCTGGCCCCCCTGTGAGAAGGAACCTGAGGCGCAAGGAAGCCAGGGGGGGCGTGGGGCCAGGTCCCCGGGGAGGCCAGCCAGGTGCTTGGGCCGGGACCAGCCTGTGATGGCCAGTGCTGGAGGGCGGGCTGAGGGGCAGCCTGTCTCCCACGGACAGGGGAGGGCTCCTGCAGGCTCCGGACCCCCGCGTGGCTGGGCACACCGCCCTGAACCCCACACCGCCCAACCTGCGGGCGGCTCCATCCATCCCGGGGGGCTCCGGGGCGAGCTGAGCGGGCTGTGCCTGTGGGCGGGGAGGGGCTGCAACCCCCCACCCCACCCCCACGCAAGGCTGCACCCCCAGAGCCTCTCACTGCCTCCGCTGGCTGCAGGGTGAAGAAAGCCCTGTACCAGAACGTGCCCTCGCCCGCAGCCTTCTTCCAGCCGCTCTACAGCCGGCACGGTGGGGACTTCCAGGTGAGGGCCGGGGGCGGGGCTCCCAGGTGAGGGCCTTAGGCACCATCAGAGGAAGCATCCCTCTCCCAGGGCTGATCAGCTCTGCAGCCGACTCCGTCACTGACGGGAAATGTGACCTCTCACCTCTGCCTTTGTGGGCAAGATCCCCTCAGCCAGGGCCGGCTGGGCAGCCCCCTTGCTCCACGGTGAATCTGGGGCTGTGGGACACCTGGCATGGGCTCCCCGCTGGCCCAGGGTCCCAGCGCCGAGAACCAGTGAGTGGCCGGGCGGCCCCACTGCCCGCCTGGGCAGAGGACCGGCGGCCCCAGCCCCGGGAGAGAGCCCAGCTGCCCAAAACGGGGAGCTTGAGGCTGGCCGCAACCCAAGCCTCCCTGGTGCGTTCCAGACCTGGGCAGGGGGCGCACGCCTGCAGCCGCAGGACAGCGACACTGTGGGGCCCGGCACCCTGGAGGCCATCGCGACCCTCACCTGCCGCCCGGGGCGCCCCTGGTGGCCAGTGGGCCTGCAAGAAGAGGGCACTGTGCTGCCGGAGGGGCGCCCGGAGGGGCCAGAGCTGCCCACCGCCTACCTGCCCCAGGAGGCCTGGAGCCCTGCAGACCCTGCCGGGCCGGTGCGGGAGGCCGGGGGCAGCGATTACTGCACCCTGAGCTGCTGCGGGGCTGAGCACCCCTCAGCCCCCCGGGGACACACGGGGGCCTCTGCGCCCATCCTGGCAGTGGACAGCCAGCTTCCCGGCAACTCGGGGGATGCCTGGCAGGGAGGCATCTGCCTAGGGGCCAGTGGCGGCCCTGGGGGAGCCCCCCGGCCTTCGCAGCCCTGACACCAGCCGAGCCTCTGGCCGCCCCGGGGCCCCCCCACCAGGGCTGAGTGCGAGCCTGAGGCCTCCTGTGCACGCCCCAGGGCCGCCACAAGCCTGGGGGCTCTGACAGTCACCTAGCGGCCCCGAGCGTCGCAGCCTCAGCCCTGGGGACCCCACTCTGGTAGCGGGGGGCTCAGGCCGGCGCCACCGGTGGACAGAGCTGCAATGAGAAGGGGCAGAAGGAGGCCAAGTCTGAGGGGGAGGCGCCGACTCCCTGGGGGAGCGCCAGGGCCGCCTTCCTCCAGGGTGCCTCGGGCCTGAGCACTGGGCAGCCACACGCCCGCGTGACCGCCCGCGTGACCGCGCCTCCGGCGCTGCCGCTCAGGCCCCGCCCACAGCCAGAGGAGCCGAGGCCGGTGCAGCTTTTGTGTCCCGAGAGCGGGGCCCAGGGGCAGACCCTGCCCAGGGAGCCCAGGTGCCCACCGCCCGCCTCCCCAGCAGCAGCAAGCCCGGGGCGCCGCTCCAGACCCCAGCCACACGCCCACACCGCACTCGGGGCGTCCCAAGGTGTGGGGGGCTCGTCGCGTGACCCCATGCCGGGCTGGGTAGAGGCCCGTGTGGAGGCCTCGCGCAGGTCCCCGGCTGCCGACGGGCAGCTGCAGCAGCGCCGGGGGCCTGAACCGCCACCGCTGGCCTCCGCCTCCCGGCCCTGGCCGGGCCCTCCGCGGTCTGTGTCCGGCGTCTCCAGGTCCTGTGCTCACGTTCGAGAAAAGGCCTCGTCCAGGATCCCTCGGCAGTGTCAGTGGGCCCGCCTGCTCTGCTCCCCACTCTGGGGAGCCCTCTGACCCCCACCTCTGTCCTATGCAAAAATAAAACGTTCTGAAAACAGGCTCGACCCGCTCCACTGGGACGGAGACGTGGCCACACCCACAGGAGCCCTCAGCCGCGGGGTGAGGCCCAGGCTGACCACCTACGCCTTCAGCGGGGAGCCCACACCTGCCCCCAGTCTGCAGCGCCCCACACGGGAGAGGCGTCTTCAGTGCCGAGGTAGAGATGAGCCCGGCTGGGGCGGGCGCTGCGCGGCCAGCGGGCTCCTCCCGTTCCGGTTTCCCAGGATTCAGCCGCCACCGGCCGAGTCCGAGCCATCACGTCGCCTGAGCTCCCGCGGCCGACGGTCCCCTCCACTGAGTCACTTTTGCATGTGAGCACTGGGGTGCAGGCCAGACGTGCAGGGGGAGGGGCTCCCCCAGACAGCAGGGGACGGGGCAGGCGGGTCCACCGGCACTGGGGGGTCTGCTGCGCCGCTGACCGCCTGAGCCCAGCCCCGACCGGGAGGCCTTCCCCTGCCTTGCTGTCCATCCGGCTCCGGTGGGGCCCACCCTGGCCGCAGGTCAACTGCTGGGCTTCGGTGGGGGGGGCAGCACGTGCTCCCCTGCGAGGTGGAGGCAGCCCCGTCGGCCTGGGCTTCCCGGGGGCTCGCGGCAGAGTCTCAGATGGTCAAAGCCGCAGCCCGGGTCCAGCCCACCGGGATCTGACCCCCAGGGCGCCCCAGACCCACCCTGGCCCCCGCTGCCCCCAGCGCCTGAGGCTCGCAGACCGCCTGCTCTGCGCCCGCTGTCTCTGGGGCGCCCTCTCTAGCCCGCAGACCGACCCGCACCCGGTTCTCACAGGCAAAGCGAACATGGCGCTCAAGGCACGCGGCGCTGCCAGCAGCTGAGGACGCCTCCAAGCACCCCGTGAGCTCGCCCCCGCCCGCCGCGTTCCCTCAGGGCGCGGCCTGCACCACACGTCAGCTGACCATGACCCCCCCACACCCAGGGCAGCGGAAGCGCAGGAACCGGGCACGCTGCCGGGGACCCCACGGCCGGCTGGGCACTGAGCCGCGACCGTGCCCACGCCAGCCCCTGGCCCACTGAAGACTCGAGGCGGTTTTGGGTTCAGCTTCTGAGCAGGTTTTGATCTCGCGGGCGCTGGCAGAGACCAGGCTGGCGCGGCCTGCGGCGGGGACAGGCTCAGTCGCCAGTGGACGGGCCCGGTGACCGCCCAAAACAGTGCGCTCGGTGGGGTGCTCCACCCCACACCCCCATGCCAACGGCTCCACCTGGGGCGCCCCGGCAGCCCACGGCGACGGGGTCAGCCGTCGACCCGGGACACGAGTCCCCGCGGGGAGACGGCCAGCGCGGCGGCGGGCTAGTCCCTCCAGCGGTGGCCGCACTGGGCGCTGCAGCACTTGTAGAAGGTGGTCATGGGCTCGTCGGCGGAGCGGGTCTGCAGCTGCATGAAGTAGGCGCGCGGGTGCTCACACTTGGGGCAGGGCTCTGGCAAGGAGAAGGGCCGTCACTGGCCAGGGCCCGGCAGCGCCCAGGCGGCGCGCCCCGCCCTTCC